CACAGGATCAGACTGGGACAATCATAGCAGGAAGCTGGCAGCTTTGGCTAACAGCAAGAGGCAGAGCAGACAGAAGGCTTCGAGAGCACAAAATTCTGGAGACATTTAGGAAAAAAACTGCCATACATGCTTCAACAGCTCCTGAAGTATTTCCTGTCCAACAGCTTAGGACAACATGACATAATTTCCTAATTCCTTCCCTCCCAAGAATGGCTTCGGAGAACGCCGTTCTCTGAAAAAATAGGCAGAGTGACATTTTAAAGTGTAAATCAGGTTAAAGCAATCCTTGGTTCTCTGACTCAAATCCAAACTATTTAGCACAGACCAATAAAGTTCTACTTGTGATCTGGCACCTACCTGCTTATCTCTCTGACTGGATCTCCTTCTAAATGACCCCTAGGGTTCACACTGTGATCCAGCCACTCTGCTCCTCCCTTAGGGCCTTTGTACCTGCTGTTCCCTGGGTCTGGAATGCTATTTTTTTCTAAGTCTTGTGGGCTGGTTCCCTCTCATCATTCATGCCTCTTTGTTGAAAGTTTACTTCCTTGAGACTTTTCCTTGACCGATGAATGTAATGTGTGTCCCCGCTTCCACCATTCCCCGTGCTCAATCTCATTACCCTGTTATGGACTTTGTAGTACTGGCCATTATCTGAATCTATATTTATTTGCTGTCTACTTTCTGAAAATGTGATGGTGTAAAGATAAATTTCCACATTTATTATTTTTTTTCTAAGTAAGCTCTACACCCTAGGTGGGACTTGAATTCATGACCCCAAGATCAAGACTCACATATTCTATTGACTAAGCCAGCCGGGCACTCCACCTTTATTATTTCTTCAGGGAAGCAGGAAGAGGGGGATGAAAGTCTTGAATTCCCCTTGAGGGTTTTTATTTAGTTTGCTAGATTCTGCAGAGCCACAAATGTTTGAAGTAGGTCAGTGACCTGTCAAATGTTTTAAAATATTTGTTTGGTTAAGATGTTATAAAATGTAACCACTCCACAATACTCTGACCCTAGACTCACTGAGACACTATCCACTTCAACTGGTTCAGCTACATAGAAAATTGCTAAACAAGTGAAGCGAATGACAAGAATATAAAAAAAGTTGTGACACACCTGAAATTAATTTGATGACTTTAACTGGTTTTGTAACACGATTGTACAGTTGGTATCTATCTCCCTTATCCAAACTCGTCTCATTTCAGTGTGGGAGGCACACCACTTCAGAGATTATGTAATTTTAAAGGTGGGCTCAAACTGTAGCAGGGCTGAGTCTTCAGTGGTGCAGCCGAGTCCGTAACTTCAGGTCAGTGCACTGGTGGACCCAAGGGCAGTATGACCAGACTTCGGCTGAAGGGAATGTTTGAAAGATGCATTATATCGAGCTCATCCAGTAAGGGTAGGAATAGAAAGGCCTTTGGATCACTGAATTTAATTCCACTAAACCTTATAGAGTATGAGAGTCAGATTGCGAACTATCCAGATGACTAGGAAACATTTTTTCACATTAAGGAGGATGAAATCTAACCATTTAGCTCAGGGTACGCAATACCATTAAGCGAATTGCATAATTTTGCACAAAAACCAACAGAGGTTGTTCTAAAATGACTCCTGTTGTCCTTGTGCCTGCCAGCCTATGAAATGTTTGTGTGGGTTTTGTTTTTCTTTTTCCCTCCTTTTCTCTCCTCCCCAACCCCCACCCACAGGGATAAATAACTTTTATTTATTTTTTTAAAGATTTTATTTATTTATTTGACAGAGAGAGATCACAAGTAGGCAGAGAGGCAGGCAGGTGGGGGGGAAGCAGGCTCCCTGCTGAGCAGAGAGCCCCATGTGGGGCTCGATCCCAGGACCCTGAGATCATGACCTGAGCCGAAGGCAGAGGCTTAACCCACTGAGCCACCCAGGCGTCCCAGGGATAACTAACTTTTAAACACAATGTATGTATAAATATAAAGTTTATTTAGCATAGTGTTTAGAAAAATAAGTTCACATCATTTCAGAAAACAAATAAAACACTTAATTGTCCAGGCATAAACCCCTATTACAGTACAACATACATACTTTAGATCTCTTTGGTTGGGTAATTAAGCACAGAAATGTTCTGGGACATGCTCTGTGTGCCATCACCTAACAGTGCAGTAGAGACTCTGTTACCCCACCCCGTGATATACATTCTGTATAGATTTTCTCTTTGTGTAAGGCACAGTAAAACCATATTGAGTATATAACCGGTCTCCTCTAAACATACAGTACATGCAACAAAAGAACAAAAACTGAGAACCCTGAAAGCCAAAAGAGTCACATGCTACATAATTTTGATTAATAAAATGTGTGGTTGTAATATTAAATTAACATGAAATGTATCAACTAGATACAAAATAACTCTTAGGCTCTATCATCTAAGTTCTAGGAAGACTTTGAAACATCTTTCATAAAATGTAATTCTTTTCCCCACAAATGTCCTGAATTACTTATATTTTTATGATGAGATGATCTGTCAAAAACATTGTAAAAGAATGAAGAACTTCTGACTATGTACTAATGCACACTTGCCTGACATGTAGCAGGCAGGCTGCAACACATGCCCAATAATCCAACTTTTGACATGCAAGATGCACGGGCATATACAGGGAGATTTAAGGTCAGTGTGCAATTTAACTACACATTTTTACCTATGGCTATAACGTCTACCTGCCTTTCATAACACAAGAAAGGCACTGAAACGTGTACGAGTCAGTCTTTTCATTACTATAAATATACACGAGCTAGGAAACACTACAACACAGGTGTTCTTGCTTGCTTGAGGAACAAATGCACCGTCTCTTTAAATGATAAAACTGTTCTTTACTAGCTGTAACTAAGAGCTAAATGCCACATTCTGGCATAGAGTGCATCGAGAGCCTCACACCAAAAATCCTACAGCCAGCAGCAGGGGTTGGGGTTTGAGGGAGAGTTTTTACCCCATTCTGATTCCTCTTTGGGGATCATTTGAGGGTCATATGCAGCATCTTCAAGCATTGGTTTATGTAAGAGAAAGTCTGCCACATGAACTCCAAGGGTTCTGAGTCTGGCCCTTGGTATTGCAAAAAAACATTTGCAATTCTGTGCAAGGAGATCATGGGGTTTATCTTATTTCATTCACATATGTATGGGCTATAAACCAACTGGCCCTTATTTTACTGAAAGAATAGAAAAGAACAGTAAGTTCTTTATAATGTGCATTGATTCTTACCTGGTATATTGTGTAGCTACCTGGAGTCACTGTAGGGGTATAATTACATCATGTTAGGAGTATGAATGGGTTTCCTAGGTAAGTCTTAAGCTTTGTGCTATCTTTTCTTTTTCTTAAGGGAAAAAAAGAGGAAGAATTGTGAATAAAAGAGAGGCTTATTATATTTTTGGAAGACATATGAAACTTTTCCAGTTATATATATGCTATATATAACTTTTTAAATCTTCTTGTTTCCCTTATTAGATTGGTATTGTAAAATAATGAACCAAAACTCTCGATATCTGCAGCCATCAAGTGAAAAAACATCATTTTCATGTAAACTACACTACAGAACCATATAATTAATCTCAGTAACATGATCAGCACACACCTACAGAAAAAACAACAACAACAACAAAAAAACCCAAACTGAGTAAGGAGTGATGGAGGGGAAAAGAACTCTAAAACACCTGACTTTGTTAAAAAAAAAAAAAAAAAGACGAAAAACTGTAGTTTCAGCAGTTTAAGAACATTCACTAATTCCATAAAAAAAAGGGGGGGGATCTAAGTTCTTTAACAAAACGATGGGAAGAAGTCTTGATAGGGCTCTTCATCTACGTCTGTGATTTCCATTTGGAATAACAAGAAAAGTGAAGTCCTCTATGGCCCTTATTCAACTTGCTTAGCGGATGGGCCTGTTGGGATCAAGAGTATATACTCTTTGTTCTGATCTTGAAGAGAGCAAGACTGGTAACAGCTTTATGTTCGATGACTTTAAGTCATCTTCAAAGAGATCATTTTCTCCCATTTCTTGCTTTGCAGTCACCAAGAGACTTCACTCCCTACCTAAATGTATTTGCATTATTCCATTTTGTGTTCGGTCCTGATAGACAGAAACTATAACCACAGCTCACAACATTATCAAGCAAGCTTCTCAAAGAAACCCCAAAAGATTTACTTTTAAACAAGACATGATAATATAGTGCAAATAACAGTTGTATGTCATCCTGTAACAACTGATTCAAAACACCTAGAACTAAGTTTCATCAGGGCAGAGTTTTGCTCCAGAGAATTTACATAATTCTTTCTGTAGTTTAAAAAAGCTGTTTTCATAGTCTACAGAATTCATTTTACAATGGTAATCTATGATTGTTATTTTCGTCGTAATGAAAAGCATCAACAATAATCAGTTGTTCATCCATTTACATCATAAACGTACATAATTACATAAGTGAAACTTAATTCTGCAGATTTAAAGCAATTTTGTGGTGAAAATAACCCTGTTAGATAGAAAAGAGCTATCAGTGCTTTTGTTGACACTTCTGTACCTTAAGAATAATTAAAAGGCCACAAGGTAAAAAGGCACATAGAATTCTATAGAAAACATATTTAAATGAATCAGAGAGTTGCTAAATAAAGAACAAGGATGTGAAAAAAAGTACCAAAATTCCAATATTGGGAGTTAGATTGCCTGTTTCAGTGTTATTAATATTGACCATAATAGACTCCTGATAAAAATCATCACTTTTAAAATCCTACAAAAAGTAAAACTTTGTTGGAAATAACTATGTTCACTTCCTGTTCAAGCAATAAAAATAAATTAAACAGTAAGAAAACATTTTTCTTTTCAGTTCATAGTGTCTGAAGTATAAGAGAAACATATACAGCATAAATAAAATTCACTGTAATTCCTCAAATCCTGGCTTAGAGGACTAATATATTTACACTCATACTGTAGTTTGTTTCAGCGTTTTTAGTGGAGTTGCAAACTTTCTCAGCCCCACTGGACTATTAGCAAGCACATTTGGAAATGTGTAGAGACAAACCAAGACTTTCACAAAAAAGGCTGAAAAACAGAAATGCATATATTCAAAAATAAACCCTTACAATAGTGCGGAGTACCATTTATGCTTCTTAACCTCATCAATGCCCATGGAGTAAAAGTAAACAAAAATAACTATTGTTTCTAATGCCAATGTCAGGTGTATACAGTTTAAATTTAAAGAACTATAGAGTTCCATTTGACCTCAGAATTATATTAAGTCAACCGAATGATACACTTTGACTTGGTATATTTCATCTTGTTCCTTTGTCTCCATCTATTTAAAAGAGAACATTCGTGAACGAAAAAGCTGCGGCAACGCAGTTCTACTCTTGTATATCTAACTGTGATCTTCATGCAGATCAATCCAGTCCCTTGAATGCATTTACTCACAAAACTAGTGTTTCCCTGTAAATGGGAAAATGCTTTATGTCCTCAGGGCTTCATGAAAAGATCTGCCTGCTGATGCCAGAAAAAAAGGGAGGGGGCGGAGGGGTGGGTGGGAACTCAAGTTTATAAGTCTTGCATATCTTCATCCAACTGGACAGTTTGGAGCTTGGCAAGCTCTTTTTTCTCTGTTTCCAGATCTTCACAGACAGTCTCGACCATGCCCTCTAGGACATACTTGGATTTTGAGTCCAGCATCATTAAGTTGCTTGTGGCTTTGCCCTCAGAATTTGTTAAGAAATTCTCTTTTATGTTAGCTACTGATTGCAGAACCAAACGATGTTCTCTGACAAAATCCTGGTGTACTGCTGGGGAAGGGTGACCCACCTGGTCTTCAGCCGTAGGAACAATTTCCCCAAGGGCAGCCTGGGTCATGGGGACTGACAATAGATCTTGACCAGCAATGAGGGAACAGTTCTGAAGAGTTGCATAGTTAGTGTTGCTGACAGATGTCACAGTAGACTTGCTTGCCACAGGTGCAGACATTGGCTGGCTCTCAGCAATGTCAGGGTTTAACTCAGTGGGATTTAGTAAGGTAGGGGGAGTCAGGGAAAAATTGTGAGTTGGGGATACGTTAACTAATGAGGAGGCCAATGGATGGAGGCCACTCCCCGAGATATTTTCAGAAGACAGGTTTGCATTTATTTGTGGATTCTGATTGACAGGCATCAACTGAGAAAATACCAGGCTCCTCTCCAAGCCCTCCTGTTTAACAGATCCTATAGTCTGGCCTGAATTAGGAACAGTGTATACCACTGCACTGGGAGCAAGAGAGCTCAAGAAAACCTTTCCTTGCTGGACTGTGGTAGACTCACTTGTAAATGTGCTCCCATCTGAAGTGCTTGAATTTACTGAAATATTACCTAAAAAAAAATAAAGTACAGATTATCATTGATGAAATTGATAAGGAAAGGAAAAAAAGGATACTTTTTACACACACGATTTTTCTCAGGTTCAGCAGAATCACCTTGAGCACTTAAAAGTACAGATTCCCAGGCTCTACTCCTGAAAATCTGACTCACTAAGTCCTAGGACAGGTGTATTTTAAACTCCCAAGTCTGATGACACAGTGGGAGTGAGAACTACTGGTTTAGAAACCAAGTGTGAAACCCCCCCCTTTTTTTCCAGGTTCTAGTTTCAGTCAAGTTTCTGGTTCATTATTACCAACTTGATTTCTCTCAATCAGTTGACAGCTGTACCTAGCTCTGCCAGTAAGAACTAGAAAACACAAATGCAAAATAAAATACCTTTGTTCAAGACAAGTTCAGTAACCGACATAAATAGAAATGTAGAAAATCCCTGTAAAATGAGTTGCCCTGGGGCTTGAAGTTAACCATATAAACCTGTACAGACAAGTTTCAAACTTTCACCAAACTAACCATAAAGTAATGTCAACAAAATATTCAATAGTTTTTTCTTTTGTTGTGCCAGTTCTGGATTTTCAGGGTTGTGGTGATAGGAAAAATTAATGATGATAATAAAGTGTACTTCTAAAATTACAGATTAATGTAAATAACTAGAGCTAATGCTTCTCTAAAAGGTTCGTATTTATAATGGTCCACAGAGAGCAGAAGCAGAAAAAGAAACATAAATGGAAAGCTGAGAAGATGTTAAAAAATGAGGTAACTCAGACCATGGAGATGAATTAGACCCTTCCCCTCACTCCTGCTATGAAATAAAACTTTTCTTTTTGAGTCTTTACATAGGCACAGTAAAATGATGGCAATGATCCTGCCGCTGAAAGAAAGGTGGACCTGAGGGAATTTTGTGACAGAATAATTCGGATGGGTTGTTTACTCTGATCTCAAATTAGATGTTCAGTAAACTATTATTTTGAGAAAACAGCTCAATACTAAAGGTAAATCACCTGAAACATATCCCTTCTTGAATTAGAATAACTGTTACCAAATAATTAGAATAATTTTAAATAATATATTACCACCTATATTGATAAATAAATGTCACAAGGCTGTTTATACGTCTTCCAAACACTTCTTAAATTCAAAGAAATGTCTTTAAATGAAGAAAAAAAAAAAGACTGCATTTAAGCTTTAAAAAAGATTTAACCACTAGAAAGTATTCTTCGTGGAAATATTGGTGTTAATAAAAACATTTCTATGTATGTCTGGGCTCTTCCCTAACATAAATGTTTGTTCCAGGCCAAACAAATGAAAAGGCTTTTATTTGACTTCAACTTAAGTATGCTTTAAAATTCCTGCTGGCTGCTAAACTGTAGCAAAATCATCTGAAATATTTATTTTGTTATGTGTTACGCATTTGTGAAAGTATTTGCCTATGTATATGTGAACAAAATGATTAGTTATTTTTTGAGAGAACCATAAATAATATGACAGGACATTTTCCCCAACAGCTACTGAAATATATAAATAAAATAATTTTGAATGTGTAGAAATTATAACATATATTAATGAAGGAAGAAAAGCAGATGTGATCTAAAACTTGATATTTAAGTGTAACTGCACCTGTATTATAAACTGGACAATAATTTCAAAATCAGTTAAAAAAATCCAAATGAAAAAGGACATAGGTGAAAAGCCTAACTTTGTAATGATGGTAAGGAAAATACCCCTTGTTTTCTCAGATTATAAAGTGAGTAAAAGATGTAGATATTCCGGACTTCCATATAAATATTAATTCTTGAAGGATAATCTACCTTGTCTACACATTTTAAAGCAAGCCTCAGTATCCATTTTTGAGAAAGCCTGAATCCCTAAATGCTTTATTGAGAACTGCAGTCCATAATTACTCTAAAGGAATGTTACTTCCTGGACCCATGTGGTTAAACTTATGCCTTTAATGCACACAGACAGTCTAAGGATTGACATATCTGTCATTTGGTCTTAGATTTTTTAACTGAAAATGCTATTCTTATTCACATTAAATGTCCCATTTTAGTTTGCAATGATTTTCTATGGTAACATATTTCTAGATTACATATGAAAACTATTTTTGCTTTTCTTCTTCCCCAGTGTACATCTCATACTTTTTGCTCAAATTTGTTGTCTTTAAAATGTTACCTACTGTTTTGGAAATTTCCTGAAGAGACAAAAGGGGTTAGATCCACATTGAATTACTATAAAATGAAGCACTTTGACTTTCCTTGTGGTTTCCATATTTTGCCTTAGGTCGGATAGTGACTTGACTTAATCCTTTCCAGAACTTGGAACAATGAAGAAATACATGTTGTGCTTCAGGATTTTTGTGTTTTACTGCCCTTCTACCTGATAATTGATTCTACAGAATGAAATGTGTTCAACAACATTTTTTCCATTAATGCCTCCTATAAACTGAAGCAGATCATAGTTGTGAAAACAAAAAAAGTTGTGCATAAACGGATATTTTTTTGGATAAAGCCATTTTATAGGAAGCTGATCTTTAAGGCAAACAACTACTTATTTTGGTTTCACAAAAATCTGGACATTCAGATTCACTTACAGGAAGGAAAACCTGCATTGACATCACCTACTCCTAAGTTTAAGGGCCTCTGCCACCTCCACTGAGATTCTAACCATTCCTGTTTCTATACACAAAAAATGACACAGAGTCATCAGACTTGCTTAAAGTCAGTGAAGAAGTGGCCTATTGGCTTCAGGCTTCCCAAATTTCAGATCAGTGTTTTCTTTAGAATACTGCCCTTGGTAAAGTCACAAACATATATATAATAAGGCTTATAGTTGCCTTCCTAAATAAACCCACACATTTAGGGGGGGTGGGCATACATGCAGAGCAACAGACTCTCAGTCACATATTCCTCTGGTTTTCCTTTAGTTAGTTTTTCAGTTAGTTTTAATTATAGGAGGAACATGATTCAAGCACAATTGATTCAGTCTTTTCAGCTTGCTCTTCTAAAACACTTCTTGGTCAAACAGAAAATGCTTAGGTAAAGTATACACATTTTGTACCAATTGCTTTGACTAATTTTGTGTTCTTAGCAATATCATTAATTTTTAATCTTAAAATGTCAAGCAATGGGTTACTCTGTAAGTACCAATTGACTTATCATATTTCTATAATTGTAGAACTGGCAAGATTTGCTCTGAACTGTATTTTTCCATTCAGTTGTTAGGAAAATAAAAGCCCATCTCCATGATGCCAGAGAGCCAAACAAGCAGGATATTACACTGCTGTGGCAAAGGAGGAGAGACAGACCAAGGCTCTCTGCAGCTGTGGCGGCCAGTAAGGTACCTGAAGAGTAACACCAATCTATAGCTCTCACCAAACGCGTCACTTACAAGCAGCTGGCTAAAACAGTCACTGGTGCATTATGGTACCGAATGAGACTTTTACCTTGTGAAGCGGCTACGGAAACAGAAGGCAGCTGCAGTGGAGAGAATCCAATGCTCCCATTAAGGAACTGGCTGTTCGTTCCGGAATTGGGGATCTGGACAATGCCATATTGGTTAATTTGCACTGGTGTAGTAAAAGTCACCACAGAGCCTCCGTCCTGGGAAGCCACTGTTTGAACACCTTCTCTTTTAACCTCAGTGCTGGGGATGAGCCCTGGGAATGACACAGGGGCACTGGAGCTGTAAGACGTGGTGGCTGCTGAGTTAGCTGAAGAACTCTGGAGGACTTTGAATTCCTTCACATCCTGGGAGGTAGACCCCAGTATGTCACTCATGGATATACCATTGCTCACAATGTTTGAGGCCATTTTTGGTGGGTTCAATGACACAGTCTGTGTATTCCCCACATTTAATCCATTAAGGATGACTCCATTGGGTCCCTGAATGAAAGAATTACCATTAAGAAAGACAGGTGAAGTACTAGCGGGCACCAAGCTTCCGTTCAACAAAACTCCAGAAGAGCTTAATGAGATCTTAGCATTTCCAATTTGTTGCATGTATACTGGCTCCATGTGACTGGGAAGGCTGAGGTTGGCAACACTATCGGAGGAACCGGAGAGTGGATGAGGAGACAAGTCCTCATGGCCCTTGCTGGATTCATCTTCAGTGCTGGGATTGCCATCTGACTCACTGCAGAGAGGGGGAAAACCAAGACATTCAGAAGGTCAGAGGGATGACGTTCTACATTGTGCCATTTGCTTAGAAATCCAGCCTCTAACCATTAAAGTCAATATTTAAGGAAAGCAGAGCAGGAAGCCTTTGGTTCTGTTTAAGTTATGAGACCTTCCAGCAGATTCGGACCATCCAGAGAATGTGGGAAGATAAACTCTCCTGTGCCGACCATTTTTACCAATAATAAATTCAGGCAAAGTCCAGAGATCTGGAAGATGTAAATTCAGCTAACAGGATTCACTATGAGAATTGTATATACATTTTTATAGCATTGAAGTTATTCCTTCCTGTTAAATTCGCTGCTACCTACACCACAGAAAAAACTCCCTAGATGAGGTGGTCAGTGGTCAGTCTTTCCTGTTTAGGAACTCCTTCCCCTCCCCTCAAAACTAATTCAGATTAGTGTGATCTTGGAGGGAAATGAAACTGCCAAAGGAGCAGGAGGTGGGAAGTGTTTTGTTTGTCAGTTAGTTAACAAGAGATCATTTTCTCACCTGCTCCCAAACTTCTACTCCACCAGACTGACAACTCTCTCATTCAACAAAGTGGCTGTCCTTGATGTAGGAAAGGCACTTTCAACCCAAGAACTGTTAGGTGCAGTCGCCTTTGAATCCAAAAGAAGCCATAGGGGCCTATTTAACATACACCATCCAGTGCCCTGGTGAGGTGGGAGGGAAAGGGTGTGGGTCACTCAGCAGCCTTGTAACCCCTTCCCCAGCACCCTCATTCCTTCTGCTCCAGGCCGGACTGTGTTCCTCACTCCTCCACTTAAGGGGAAACACCAAATCCGGGAAGGGGTAGTGGTGGGAGTTCCCATTTGGTCTGACGCTGGGCGGGGGAGAAAGGGTCAGTTAGTTGGCAGTTGGGAAGCGTGGTGCGACTTGGCCCCGTAGAAGATCCACGTCCCTCGCAGTGCCCGGCGGTCGGTTCGCTTTTAAGGGGAGGGGAGGGGATTACCCGGGCTTTGGGCTGCGGGGCCAGGAGCGCAGAAAGCGCTTTGATTTACGAGCTGAGGCTGAGCCGCCGTCACCGTCTGTGAGGGTGACTCACCAGGGGTGCGGGTGGGAGGTAGATCCGGAGAGGGGCCCAAACCAGGCAACTGGGCCGGGGGCGGGGGGGCGGGGTGTGGAGTTGGGGGGGGTCGTATAAAGCCGGCAGAGTGTGGCTAAGGAGATGGGGAACGCGCTCAGCCGGGGAGTGGGGGCTGCAGGGCAGCTGGCCTGCGTGCCACGCCCGCTCCCCACCCCCTGCCTCTGGCCCTGAGGATTCCGACGGAGCTCCGAGCGACAGGATCCAATGCCACAAGCTGGCGCGGGGTGACCAACGGGCCTCCTCTGGGTCTCCCCTAAAGTCTGCGGAAGGATGCATGCAAGTCACAGTGCGCGTTTTGTTTTGGTTACCGCGAGGCCCGGCTCGGACACAGCGCCTCCCTCCCTGCCTCAGGCGAGGAGCGCCGGAGCCGCGGGCCCCGGGAGGGGCGCAGGGGCAGGAGCGTCAAGGGCGGACCGCGGCGGAGTCTGGAACGCGCGGGGCGATCACCTTCGCTCGGCCCGGACGCGCTCCCCGGCTCCCAAATTCCTAACCTGCGCAGAACCTCGAGCTGTAGGGTTCTTTCTGTCCTATGCCCGCGTGGCTTGAGACACCATCTCTTTAGGCGATCTTCTCCATAGTTCGCTCAACAATAAACAAAACACACCCTCCAGGTGTCTGACTCGAAAGGACGCACAAAAGAGGTGGAAACCCCATTTTCTACCAGTTGGGATCCAAAACTCTGCCAGTCCAAAAGTTCAAACCCGCCAGGGTGGGCACTCTAGGAGGTGTGGAGCTGATATCGCCCCCACCCCCAATCGCTGTCCCAGGAGGGAGCCACTCAGGGTTCGGGGGCCGAGGAAGCAAGCCCTCCAGCCCCACTGCCCCGGCGGCGCTGAAATCCGATCCGAAGGAGTTCAGAATCAGGTTTCAAAACACGGCAGAGCCCAGCCGCACCATCACCCCACGTTGCCGCGGCCGCGAAGGGAACCACAGCGGGCCGGGTGAATGATTAACTCTGTCACATAAAACCTCGACGTCCCCAGCCCCCCTTGTGAAACGCTAGCCCCCACCAACACCCTCATTCCTCCAGAGAGGCCAAGGCGACCTCCAACGCAGGTTGCGGCGGCGGGGGGGCGGGGGCGGCAGACGAACCCGGGGCGGGGGGGCGGTGAAGGAGCTAGTGCACACGCCCGGCCGGTGTAACCCGCTGGAGGTGCAGACTCGGGCCCGCGCTGGCCACCTCCGTGGGCCTCTGGCGGCAACCAGAGCTGCCTTTCCGGCGCCTACACACGCTCCTGCGCCTCGCCAGAACCCGGGAGAGAGTGGCAACTTCAAAGCCAGCGGGATGGGGGTGGGAAACTGGGCGGCAGTGACCAGCCGAGGTGGGGGCGGGGACTGAGACCTAAGCGGGCGACGAGAAACTTCTGGGGGGAGGAGGGGGAGGGTAAGGAGGGAGGTTCCCCCGCCTCTCGCCACCGCCGCCCCCCCCCAACCCCCGGTCCGGGAGAGGTGGGGGGCGGGGAGAGGTGGGCAGCCGGACCAGGCTGGTGGGGAAGGTAAGCGCCATGTTTGCGAGCACTTGGAGGAAAAGAAAGCTGGGAAGGGGGTGGGGGAGAGGAAGGGGGAGGCGGAGGAAAGTTGGCGCTCACCTTTTGGACTGGGTCTCTGAGGGGTTCCGATCGCGCTGCCGGCGGTTCTTGAACCAGTTGCTGACCTGGGTGAGGGAGAGGCCGGTGATCTTGGCCAGGTGCCGCTTCTCGGCGGGCGAAGGGTAACGATTCTGCTTGTAGAGCTCCTTGAGCGCGTTGCGCGACTTCTCCTTGAAACAATACACCGTCTCCTCGCCGTCCCAGATGGTGCGGGGCAGGGGGAATTTCCTGCGCAGCCGGTACTTGTCCACGGCGCCCAGTGGCCGGCCGCGGGCTCGCTCGGCCTCGGTGTAGCGCGCCTTGTACCAGAGCTGCTGCAGCAGCGGGTGGTTGGCCGACTCGAAGCTGTGGCTCTCGAGGATGCTGTAGAGCTCGGGGTAGATGCCCTGGTGGAAGGCCACCAGCGCCCGCGCCTTCAGCAGACTCTCGTTGCCACGTAGCAGGTCGCTCTGGGGCAGGGACCACAGGAACCGGGCCAGGCGGTCCAGGTTGCCCCCCTGCTGCAGCGCCTCGCACACGCAGGCGACATGGTCGGGCGAGAAGGCCAGTGGGGTCTGCGCGGCGGCGGCGGCGGCGGCAACGGCGGCCGCGGCGTGGTGGTGCCTGCCCAGAAGTTCCGAGTGGAGTTGTACCTGATCCGCCGCCGCTGCCGCCACTGCCCCTTCCTCTCCGCTCACCCTTGCGGCGGCGGCCGAGGCGTCCCCCGGCTCCAGGGGGAAAGGGGCTGGAGCCGGGGGGCTCAGCCCCGCCGCCGCGCCCCCCGCCACTTCTCGGGGCGCCTCCTGCCCTTCCGAGGCGCTTTCCATCCCATTCTCCTGCTTGATGTCCGCCGCACTTGCAATCTGCCCGGTGGGGGAGGAAGAGGACATTTTTTGTTGTTTATTTTCCTCCCTCCCTCACTCCCTCGCACTCTTTTCCTCTTTCTTTCCCCCTCTCTTACTCCTCCTTCTTCTTCTCCCTCCCTCCTCCCCCCCTCCGGAAAGCCCACTCCCTCCCTCCCGGTTTCGGCTGGATCTGGCCGATCAGGTTTCCCCCCGGCCACGCAGTCACCATTAAGATAGCTGCTAGAGCAAAGTAGTGTAAAAGGATAGCTGCTTTCTGCTGTTCCCCCAACGTGACTCCTCGGGTTGCTGCATACTATATGGCACTGGCGGCCGGGCCGGGCCGGCCGCGCTACCTCATTGGCTATTTCACATTCAGAGGGAGGAGGAGACACGGTTTCTATCCCTGTCGATCACCCTCCTCCCACTCCACCCCTTGCCTTTCCCTCTCCCCCTGACCCCCAGGCACCTATACCTGAAGGGAAACACAGACATTCTTTTTAGGCAATGCTCCTGGGCGGGAAATTACCTAATGTGGCCTGAAAACTGGACAACAGGCTCTTTCAAAGAGAGTCCCTAGGATTCCAGCGGGAATATTAATTGTGTGGCCTTAAGGTCCAGATGCTAAACTCTTAACAAAGAGACCACCGTCAAGCATCCAGATGACAAAATTTTCAAAGGAGACGATTGAGAAGCTTTTCTATGTTCCTGTTTCCCCTTTACCTCCCTTTCCAAGATGACTTTATCAAGGATTTTGTATTCAAAAGGGTCCAGAATAGAATGTCACTAGGGAATGTTCCAAGGGGAAAAGGTTTATGGTAAACTAAAAAGGGGGAGATATTTGAATATCTTAGAATAATAGATGTATAAAGAGCCCACTGAAAGGACAAAAACAAGGAACCTTCAAAAGGCATTTAACCTTCACTCACCTGGAGGTCTGGCAACACAACAAAGTTGAACAGGGTGCAACTAAGGATATAGACTGTTTAATCAATGTGTTTATCTCAGGGAATAGGGTGGAAGAGATCTAAGCTTTAGATTATAATAAAGTATAGAAATTTAAGTCTTCCGTGTGGACATTTTTCATGTAAGTGTATGAATAGTTCTCTGGAGGTGATATTCTTGGTGGAAACACCAGTTCTAAGTGCAGGTGTCTTCCAGGAGATCAATGCAGGATCAGCAGCCCTTTCAGCAGCACAGACAGATGGAAGACTGCCCTCTGGTTTGAGGTGAAATGCCTGGGGGTGGAGTCTGCTGCTGTTTGCAGTCATGTCTCTTTTATGGTTTGCATGAGGTCTTAACACAGAAAAGGATGAACCCATCTCTGCTTCTGTGATTTCTTTGGATTAGTTAGGTCCATCTGCTGGCATTCTTTCTGAAAATCCAACATTTTAATGACATCGTCCTAGCATCATCTTTCAAGGTGGCTTTGTGTTGTTTCTGCTTCCCAGTTACCCGTAACTGCCTATTTCAGCATATTATGAAGAAGCTGTTTAGGTTACCTGCTGTCCTGATCAACTTGGTGAGATTTTGTTTTTGGTGGACAGGTTTGTTTCATTTCTGTCCAACCAAGATGTCATTCGATTTTGGACTTGCTTTTGTACTGTCCTAATGAAGACAGCACTGAAATCTCTGGCAGATTTAAAAATTCATAGTTATCGAAAAGACCACGGGTCTACACCCCATGGAAACACGCAGGTAGGTATCCAGCTTTAGGACAATATCTGAGATTCACAACTTCCTTGAATTAAAAAAAATTTTTAGAATAATTTTGACTTACATAAAAGTCACAAAAAGAGTTCAGAGAGTTCCCATCTACTCTTTACTTAGTTTTCCCTAATGTTGACATTTTACATTACGATGATACATTTGTCTGAACAAATTAACATTGCTGCAATATTATTAACCAAACTGTAGACTTTATTTGGATTCACCAGTTTTTCCATTGATGTCTGTCTTCTATTTATCAATCCGATCCAAAATATGACACTGCATTTTATTCATTGAATTTTTAAAGCATATTTATCAGAGCAGAGTAGACAGGAGGTAGTATGGTTTAGTGGAAAAAATGTGGACTTGGGGATCAGCTAGCTAGATGTAAGTTTGCTTTGTTTTTTTTTAAAAAGATTTTATTTATTTATTTGACAGACAGAGATCACAAGTAGGCAGAGAGGCAGGCAGAGAGAGAGAGGGGAAGCAGGCTCCCCGCTGAGCAGAGAGCCTGATGTGGGTCTCCACCCCAGGACCCTGAAATCATGACCCAACTTGAAGGCAGAGGCTTAACCCACTGAGCTACCCAGGAGCCCCTAGACGTAGTTTTAATCCTAGTTCTGCCATTTATTAGCTACTTGATATAAAAAGTGGACAGGTTTGTTGTGATGATTAAATGAGATAAGGTGTGCCAAAAAGCACCTGGCACATGATTAATCTTTGTTAAATGTTTGTTTGTTAATGTTTGTTACCTTCCTCCTGATAGTGCAAAGTAGGAAACTTTTTTCAGTTGCATATATCCAATGAAAACTCATTTGGCTATATTATAGGATGATCCAAGTTCAGTTCATAGGACTCTTCTTCAGGCTTGTTTTCCATTAAATATAGTGCGTTTATTTGGAAAGCCACTTACTGGGTTTCTGCATGTCTTCTGAGCATGTCTTTTGCCTCCAGAGCACCAAGTTCAACAGATCATATAGAAGCAACAGTGACCTTTTGTGAATTTGCAGCCTGTAGCTACAGTGGTATTGTATAGCTCCAGGAAGAGATTCCTGTAGAACCAGAAGTGAAATGCAACACCCAGCTCTGGATTCCTTTAGCAGACTGAGCCTCAGGCTCATTCTGGCAGCAATGCAAAGTGGGACCGGAGGTCCTCCACTTCAACAGGGTCCCCTCCTTCGGAACGGAACACCAGACTTGAGCGTCCGTGGCGTCGGTCTCCGAGCACTGGTTTACAACTGATTTGTGAAATCGTTGACTGCTTCTACTCCCCACGTCTGCCATGCTGTAAACACTTGAGTCGGCTGTATTGATATGCAGTCTAAAGGGGTGTTATGACTTGGGAAAACAGAGTTGAGGCTGGGGTTGTGTGAGGGTGAAAACCAACCTGCTTGCTTCTGGATCTTTTCCTTCCAGCCTGAGGATAGCTATGAGTGAATATGGAAAACTTTTGCTATTTTAGTGTATTGAAGAAAATCTGGCTTGGCACAAATTTTTACTCTTTGCTTGAGTATATTTAATGGTGTTGCCGAGAGTAGAGATGTCCTTTCTCAAGGCTGACTTTGGCTGCCTTGGTAGAGGGATAGATAGAGGGAAGGCCTATATAACTGTATGGTGTTGGGCTCTTTCCATTTCTGAAGCTCATGTACTGGTGCTATTAAGAAGTTAGGTTGGAAAGTTATCTCCCAGGTAGAGGGGGGCGTTCTATTGTTATTTAGTGACCAATAGTTGGTGATGTGCAGTCAGCATTTCTGAAGGATCATTCATTTGCCAAATATTTATTTGGTCCTGATTAAGTGCAATTTATTATATTAGATACCAGATGATAGCAAGATGAATATTTGGGGGTCTCTGAAGGGCTTAAAATCTGGTGGGAGAGATAAAACACATCCATTAGGAAATATAGTAAAGGGGATGGGAGTAGTGAGGATAAAGAGGTTAATTTTGGGAGGATGAGGGCAATAAGGAGTGCATTTTTTTTAAAAGATTTTATTTATTTATTTATTTGACACAGAAAGAGAGACAGCAAGAGAGGGAACACGAACAGGGAGAGTGGGTGAGGGAGAAGCAGTCTTCCCATGGAGCAGGGGGCCTGATGTGGGGCTTGATCCCAGGATCCTGGGATCATGACCTGAGCCAAAGGCAGATGCTTAATGACTGAGCCACCCAGGCGCCCCTGGGGAGTGGATTTTTTTGCTAGGTCTTTAGAGACAAGAATTTTGAGAGGACAAAGTTAGAGATCGATAGTGGAAGAGGGAAGAAAATGAGTAGAGCATGGAGCCATGAAAGTATGTGTATATTTATGAAAATATTGAGTAATTCAGTCTGTCTGGGTTGTGGGGTTTATATAGTTGTGTGGTGGGAGATTAGCTTAAAAGGCATCTTGGGGACAGATTTTTGAAGGCCTTTGAATGGTATGCTCAGTTTGCTGTGGCATGAAGCACCCAGTGGTCCATGTCCACAGTAGTCTGTGTGTAATGTCATAGCCATGCCACATAGCCAAAGTGTCCAGGGATGGACACTTTCCACAAACCAAAGCATTCAGAATCCTTTTCTGGGGGTTTTTCACATTTTAATGAAGAAAAAAGTTAAGACTGGGAGAGGGAGCCTTGGATGTAATGCTTGGGAGTTCTTAGTAACCAAACTATCTACCTGTGGAGAACATGGATGAGCAATAGGTAGGAGGGAAGGTGACCTAGTGAGTCTCATGGGTGATAGTGGAGGGAGAAGATCCCTGAGTCTCATGGGTGATAGTGGAGGGAGAAGATCCCAGCAGAGGCTGAGTGAGTGCCAGGATCTAGTAATCTCCCAGGTGTAGCAGCATTCTTGCCTTTTTGTGGTGATGTGGATTTCTCTAGGAGCCAGAAACCCCTCCTTGAGCTAGACTCGACAAAAAGATGAATTTATTGGAATCTGATACCAAACAGGGTGAAAACCTGGAATGCAACTGGTTGAACTTAAAAGACCTGTTGTCCCATGTCACTTGCCTCTTCTCTTTTGTTGTCAAGTTAGTTTTAGCCTTTCAAAGGGCTTTACCCAGAAGATGGGAACCAGGGCTCCCAGGAGTTTTCAACTCACATTTTCTAGCTTCTTAAAGGGGTTCTCCTGCTTTTCCTTTAATGCCAATTTGAAAAATTCTAGGGAAGATCTCTGATTGGCCCAGTAAGTGTTGCATATCAACTTCTAGGCCAGAGGGCCAGGACCATGATTGGCAAGCCCATTAGAACCACAGAAGCCTGTTGGGGAGGAGTTGTTTTCCATAAGAAGAGGGGAGGATGCTATCTTTAGTCAAGGGACAAAACAATAAATAAATGTCACCTGAAGATGAGGAAAGCCCA